ATGCTTTCATGGTTTGTGTGCTTTGCATTGGCTGGGTCAAGAAGAAAACCCTGAACTCTAATGAGAAGATCTTGCTGCTGCTGGGATGCTCCAGGATTTCCTTTTTGTGCTTCTCATGGGTATACAGCTTCCTTCATATAATTTATCCCGATTACCTTTATGTTCATGCCATAATAACATTGCTTGCATCTTTTGCAGCCGTTTTTAATTATTCTAACTTGTGGGTTTCAGCCTGTCTTTGTTTTTTTTATTGCATAAAAATTGCCAATTTCAGGAACAGATTCTTCATTTACCTGAAAGCAAAAATTGACAGGATTGTGCCTTGGCTCTTGTTGGGGTCCGGGATTTTAGCCTTGGCTATTGGCATCGTTACCTATGACCTCTACAGTACTGTGCAGTCTAAGGACCTCAATTTCACCTGCCTCGGAAATTTTTGGGAAGCAAGTATCAGAATGGATAAACATTTTTCGGCCTCGTTTTTTCTCATTGGCTTTGGATATGCTGCTTCATTCATGGCAGTCATCTTTTCTGCTGTTTCCCTTCTCTTTTCTCTCTGGAGACACAAATGTACAATGCAGACAAACTCCATGAAGGACCTCAGCATGGAAGCCCACATCAAAGCCATGAAATCTATTCTCTCCTTCTTAGTGATGTACAGCATCAACTTTGTCTGTTTGGTCTTGTCAATAATTTATATAATGATGAATGACATTATCGTGACACTTTTTGTATCCTTATATCTGTATGTTTATCCAGGTGTTCATTCCCTTATTCTGATTTTCAGCAATCCCAAGCTGGAAAAGGCACTGCTAAAGATTCTCTCCTGTGTGAAGTGTGAGTTTCTCATGAAGTAAGAACTGTGATAAAACCTGGAGCCATGCAAATTGTTGATCTTTCACTGTAGAAAGAAAGTAATTCAATTTCTAATGCAGCTCTTCAGGCAGTGTAGATGATACTGATGTTGACTCTTAACATCTAAGTTAAGAAAATGTCACTCAATCTACTGTGCTAAAGACTTGTGGGTTAAATACATTATTACTGTATTTGGATTTAGCTATATCTTTGAGATATATTTTTGTTATTTACGAAGTCATTTAGCCCTGATTGTAGGGCTAAATGACTTTGTTAATAATAATTGTAGGATTGTAACTATGGTCCCTAACCTCCTTGCATGGTGAAGGGTTTAATGTGGGCATGGGAGTCTGCTGGTGGGATGATGGATTATGAGGCAGATAACCCCTTTAGCTCTGCCTGAGCCCAGTGGAAGAGGGAGTGATGCTAATTAAGTGTTCAGTCCCTGCCCAAGACTCATAGCCTTTGCAATCAGATCCCTTGGTATCCCTTATTTTCAGATCAGCTGTCTGCCCACCACCATTTACCTTGGCAGCAATAGGGGATTTGGAACTGCAGCCTCAGCTGCATTTCTCGCAAAAGTATAGATTTGGCATTTGAAATCCTCCCTGGCAGTGGACGAGAATATGACCCCAATGTGCAGACAGGGCATCAGGATTGCTTTGCTCCCCTCCACAAAGCAGGGTACACATGTTTTTTAGGACTTTTTCTTTGACTATTTCATATTGTACCCTGGTGAAATTCTGTTTATAGATCTAACCAATGGTAAAGTTGAGCTTACTGAACTACTCACTGCTTTTTTTTTTTAGCATACATTTAGAGATAATCCAGTGAGTGTATTTATTAGTGGTAATTCCAAATTTGTATTTCTACAATAAAATGCATTCTTTGTCACTTTTTGATTCTGTGAGTCTGTGATTCTGTGATTTCAAAGGTCTTATTGAACATGACAAAACTTACATGATGAATTTGCAATAATCTGAAATCAAGCTGAGCTGCACCAAGACTCTTTGATCTCTGAGGACCAGCAAGGGCTTTATTTTCTGCCAAATTTCTATTCTCTTAATGTAAGAGAAAAATATGCAACACTGGTACACACACTGGGTGCAAAGGAAGGAATAGCAATACTGCAAACCTGCCTCAAACGTTTTGATTTTCACTGATTGAATTGACTGAATGAAACAACAGGTTTATCTCTGTGTTGGTTTGCCCTTCTTTCTGCTGTGGCCCTGTGCTGTGTGATCTATTATGGGCTGTATCACTGTCTGGCAGTGGCCAAGAGCTCTGTGTGAACATGCTGACCCCTGGCACTCACCAGAGGTGGTCACTGATGCACAAACAGCAAGGCAGGAACAGCCCTGGGGAGCTCAGGGCGTGCAGAGCCCCCTTCCCACGCCAGCCCTGTGTGTCCTCTCTGCCCCACTGCCTGCAAGGACAGGATTCCCTGCTCTGTGGGACGGCTCTCCTGGCCTGCTTTGACCTGGTGAGGAGATTGGATTAGCCCAGTGCACACTGACTCAGGAAAACATCCAGGTAACAGGCTTTGCTCTCCATCAGGAAAACAGATTAGGAGGAAGAAATGGAAAAGACAACTTGTTAAGAGGTGACTGCAACCCCTATTCTACTTCCCCTTGTGCTGCTATGGGAGTGGAATTGGAGGAGCTGGGGATGTAGGATTGTGCTGGTTTCACCTGTGAAGAAGAAACTCAGAGAGAAGTTCTCTCTTTGGGGGCTTCCTCTGTGGATTGATTGGGACCAAATTTAGGGCTGTTTTAGTTACTGACAGCCTCAACAGCCAATTAGAGAAAGTTAGTTCGCTCCGTGAACACACATTTTGAAGGAGGTAACCTGGAACTGAGTCTTCTTTTCTTTCGGGCAGCAGTGCAGTTGACAGGGCCCGGCCTGGTCCCACTGCAGGGCTGCAGGCCTGGCAGGGCAGAGCCGGGTCCACTGTCTGGGGAGCTGGCATGGCCCGGCAGAGAGGAGGGGTGGCCATGGACAGTGGCCAGGGAGACTCAGGCTAATTTACAATCCCAGCCGCTTTTTCCGCCCCCTTTTCCAGCGTGGCCGGGTTCAGAGATCCTGGCAAAGCTCCAACATTGTAGCCTTGTTTTTTTTCTTTTTCCTGTTCAAAATCTTAACACTTTCAATTCTCAGATAAGACCTGCAGACTTTTCAATCCTCCCCAGAGTGAAAGGGAAAAAGGAGATATTCTGAAGTCAGTGAAGGAAGAGCTAATTTTTTTAGATGGAAGGAGAATGAGGAGATGCTATGAAGATGGCTGAAATGTCAATTTGTAAGATTGTAGGGATGAACTGATGTACTGAATATTCCTATAAACCATGGAGAAAGACATGGGAGGTTGGAGATGTTCCATTTGATAGATCATTTCACCAAAAACCACCTCTGTTGAGAATCTTTTGTCCCGAGGAAAGAAGGGGATCTCTGTTTTCTGAGGATGAAGCATGAACAGAGAGAAAAGAGATGAAGAGAACCTTTGCTTTGGAACATTTCATTCTTAAAAGTAATACCCCATGAGACAGACATGGGCCACATGTACAGTTTTGGGAAGGCTGTGGAGTTGGGAGGAGTGCCACGATTGCAGATGCAAATTGTGAAAATGAAACCACGAGAGGACTGGCTTTTTCCCCTCCTTGTGGAGAAAAATCCCTATAGCCTCACAAGAGGAAACTTCTCTCTCCGAAGTGAACTGAAAAAGGACTATTTGAGTCAGGAACTGACTGAAGTAGTTTTTTGTATGTTTGTATTGTTGTTATGAAGGTTGAGAGAGGGAAGGAAGGAGTGGTCTGAAAATCTTATTCTAAATTTGTTGGGTTTTTTTTTTTTTTTTCTCTGTTAAGTTCATGAATTTCTTTTTTATACCCTTTTAAGTTTTAGGCCTGCCTTGCTTCTGCTCATGGTTCTGTCTCACAACAGAAAATGAATATATTTAAATTGGCAAATCAAAACCTTGACATTATTTGGCGCGTTGGTCAGAAAATTCAAATTAAATGAAGGCATTTTGCGGGGGGGAAATTAAATTAAATCAAGACAAGTAGCGATGTGGAGTCTGGGATGAAAGGATGGTGGAGGCAGCAGGTTCTAGTTTTTTGTTTGTTTCTCATCATCCTACTGTACTTTCAATAGGCAATAAATTATATTTCTTTTCCCCATGTCAACTCTGTTTT